CATTACTTACATATCCTTCATGCTCTTACGCAAATATTGAATATGTTTAATTCTTACAAAATTAAAAAAATCGAATACAAATCAACTTAATAATTGAAATGATATACATATTAGTAAACTCCTAAATAAGGACCTGCATATTTGAATTTATTTTTATTCAAGACGACTTTAGCGCCATCTATTAGAGAAGCTCCGAATTAACCTGTGGCTACTGTATGCAGTTTTAGGAAGTTTTCTTTTATATTTTAGGCAATTATTACACATAAATGGCGATTTATAATTTATTCCAAAATTTACTTCAATGAGCTTTTAAGAAAATTGACGCAATTAATTTAGATATTTTAAGTGACATTTGTTGCTTTAGTATATAGCCTATTCAAAGAAGAATTATTTTCATCATCGGGTAATTATTACTGGTATATTTTTAGCTTTATTTCATCGTAAAAATTACCATATTTTGGGAATTATTTTTAAACGATCCCTTATAGTTAGAGACACCAAAAACCTTTATTGAACAGTAGTATATATCTATTATCGGCAGGAATTTTTTCACTTTTATCTTTGTTGTAGTTTCAGCTAAAAAGTCATTGAAAGAGCGTTGTGTATGCCTATGTTAAATACATTGCCCACGCCCGCCCTTAAATATATTTTATGTATTTTTTTTTCACGTTTTTATTTCTCCGGGGAGGCCCGGTCCCCCGTGATTAATTCTGACGGTGTCCTGGCCTCCGGACTCTCCCTTAGTCGACGCTTATGCATACAAGATGTCCCAAAAAATTTTATATGGGTTAATGGGAAAAATATTTACATTTCACAAAATTATTCTTTATAAAATATGTTCTGGATCACTTGGAAATCCATAATCAAAGTATTAAATTTGTTAAACATTCCATGTTTAAACTCTTTGTATTTACAGGAAGTGGTTCAACTAGTCATAGCCGTCGAATGGACACACGATCAACTGTCGCCGCTCAATATAGTGGGATTGGTGTCGTGCCTGTGCGGCATCTCCTTCCACGTGTTCCACAAGATCAAGAACCAGCCGATGAGGCCGCCGCACCGCCCCTATGAGTCCCATCACGAGGGGCACGAAATTAAGGAGTACTTAATCAACGATTACACGCACGAAAGTCCTAGCGAAAGCGAGGAGGACAGGAGCGATACCGACGTACTGTTCGACATACTCAAAAGGCGCGAAAGATAATGTGATACAAGTCTTCAATAGCGTTAAATCGATTCATTGATAAACCTGCTAGTTGGCCAGATTTGATATCCGTTAAAAAAGATACCTGCGTCGGAATTTCTGTATAATATAAAGGACGAATGGAATTTTTGGATGCTCTTTATAAATAAGTGGATATTTTTATAGTCATTAAAAATATGTTTCTATATTGAGCATATATATTTGTGATGATCTCTTTTTTGGAAGTATTTTTTCGTAGTTAAGTGAGATTAGAAATGTTATTAAATTATTTTTGAATTATTATGAGTAAAAATAATTGTCCAAGTAACAATATGGCTGTTTGTCTTTTAAACATTGTAATTTTGACTTTGTTTAAATGAACAAGTTATAAAAGTAAATTTAAAAAGCTGACTCCAAAAATAAAGTGTTTGATAATTTTCTTATGGATCCCATCATCAGATCTTGGCCAAATTTATATGGGACCACCACTGAGGTGCCCCCTTTCTAAGAAAAAAAAAAGTATCATCGACATCGGGCAACATGGTAAAGAATTATCGCTATACATAACACCAATATTTCAACAAATTAAGAACCTACTTTTTTAAAATCAGTTAAAAATTAGCAAAAAATTGTAAACCACAGACCATTATTATAAAATAAAATAGAAAAATAAGGACCGTTTCTCTCCGGAAAACAATTACTCCTTTGGCTAATACCGCAACAGGCATTGCATTATAACCAAAGGAAAATAGCAGGTAGAAAATAAATTTCAACAATACTTTACTATTTCTAATTTATTTTAAATGAGATACAAATTTTTCCTAGTTATACAATGGGTTACATTTTCTAAGTTGTTCACAACTGGTCCTTCTTTCTAAGTTGTACACGTGTTTTTCTATTTAAAATGTACACAATGAGTCCTTTTTTTAAATGAAATGTCTATCTTTTTAAATTATACAGCGAGTCAAATTTTCTAAGATGTTCACAATTGGTCCTTCCTCTTTCTAACGGGTCTTCTTTTTTTTAATGTACAAAAGACCTTTCTGAGTCATATACACTGGATCAAATATTTTTCTATAAGTTGTATACAATGACTATGCACCACTTTCTGACTCCTTCCTTTTTTTCAGTCATTTACAAAGATGAATCCTGCTACTTCTAAGATATTTACAAAGAAATACTACTTTTTTACGTAGTATACAGGGTGAATCCTAAGTTGATACTTTTTTTTTTAACTCTGTATAGAAGTCAAAATAAAAAACTTTTCCAAATAACTTTTTCAAAAAAAACTCAAAAATAAGAAACTTAAATTAATTTATTTCAAAATGTATCCAATACGTTCCTGTATAACTTTCGTCGAAAAACAAAACTCTGTGGGGTAAATTTTAAAGTTAAACGTGAAAGGAAGTCAGTGATTTTCTCGCAGTTGTCCACACTTCTTTGACTTATCCCGCCTGATCATCCACGAACTACTTAGTATTGAATCTTCGGCAATATCATTATTTAAAATGTGGTCTTATAAACGCACTTTATATTCAATTTACCATACTGAACAGATAAATACACTACTGACTTACTGAAATTAGGATATTGAATTACAAAAACTGCTAGGTACACGATGAATTGTGATTCATATTCATGAGAAAAACTGAAAAACATACTTATTAATTAGTTTAACTTTTCATACACAAGTTCAGGCCCTGAATTATATTTTCTAAATCTGTATCTTTCGTATTTTTGAGTTTTTTTAAAAAAGTTATTTTATTGTTATTATTATTTATACACAGTTAAAAAGTATCAACATAGGATTCAAACAGATTACAAGCAAACTCTTAACGGTACCCAAGATCTTATTGGTAATTTTATTTGTTCATTTCCGACTTTTTGAGGTTATTTCAACTCATCCGACTGAAACCATATAAGTAAATTATTAGACCTTAAATTATTATTTTGCTAAATAACACTGGGTCAAATGTTACACAGTGTGTTAAATTTCCTCAATGACGCCTAAAGAACGATATAGAATAAACGATGCTATTGACTAGACAGAGGTAGAACAGGGCGCAGCCCGCGTAGCGGTAGTGTGTATCTATCTGTCTTATCACAGTAGGTAGTCACAGGATTAACGAGAATATCTCCTTATTTCTCTTACTTGCAAATCGATGGTCTAATTCTAATACCCCGTAACTGCATGGATCGGTATTTTACAGGAGAAGCTTTTTTTAGTTTATAAGATTCCCATATTAAAAACGTATGATGTTATAAATATTTCTCAATCAACGCAGACCTAGTGAGTGCGCCGTGGCTAAATATTATAATATTATTTATTAAAATAATATTGAAAAGAAAATACAGATTTTTAACAACTTAATCACAATATTATTTGACAACCATGCTCCTTATGTAGAAGCCAAAATTACTAAACCGTATGCTCCTTGGTTGACACCTACAATTCGCGAGATGATGAAAACACGAGATAAAGCACTTTCAAAATATAAAAGATCCCAAAATATATTAGACTTCATTCATTACAAAGAAATGCGGAATATCGTTACTAGTGCAATTAGGAAAGAAAAATCAGCTTATTTAAATTATCGTGCAAGCATGCAAAACAAAAAAGATTTTTGGAAAGCAATGAAATCCTTGAATATTTCAAATAAAACATTCCATATTCCTGATGGCTTAAGTGACCCTACTGATATAAACAAGTATTTTACGTCGGTATTCAGTCAGAGAAATTGTTGTCCTTACACTACATCTTATTATAACTCAAATCTATTTAATCCTGGTATTAATTTCTCTTTTAAACTTGCAACAGTAAATGAAATTAGGTCAATAGTTTTGGAATTAAAATCAAACGCATTAGGAATTGATAACATCTCAGCAAAAATGTTACAACTTTCTATTTCAGTCTGTGCTCCTTACATAACGCACATTGTAAATTGCTGTTTAGAAGTTGGTTACTTTCCTGATAGCTGGAAGTATTCCTTAATCAAGCCTTTACCAAAATCAAATAAGCCTGAAACATTTAGCGACCTTCGGCCCATAAGTATTTTACCGACGTTGTCCAAAATGATAGAAAAAGTAATTAGTAAACAAATATATACATACGTATTTTCTCATAATATTGTAACCACTAAACAATCAGGTTTTCGAAAGGGGTTTAGTACTACAACATTACTCTTAGATTTAACAGATAACATTATAAGATCAATGGATGAAGGAAAAGCTACAATAGTTACTCTGCTTGACTTTTCTAAAGCGTTTGACACTATAGATCATCAGCTTCTTTGTGCCAAACTCAAATATTTTGGTTTCGATGGAACCTCACTAAGATTTTTCAAATTTTATTTAAGTAACCGCTACCAAAAAGTAACGTTAGAGAAATCATCTTACTTTATGTGTGTAACATCAAGGCTCTAATCTTGGTCCCCTTTTGTTTTCCATATATATTTCAAACCTTTATAAATTATTGGAGCATGTAAATATACACTCTTTTGCTGACGACACGCAACTATATTATTCCTTTGACCCATGTGAAGTAGATATAGCCTCGCAAAACATGAATTCAGGGCTGGAACTCTGTGTCATGTAGAATTCTACTTATCGCTTTTTACAATGGAATCGATTACTTTCTTTTGTGATAAATACGTTATCAACCGCACGGGAAATATCGCAATGTGGTTTCTTATGAAACTAGTTATCCTGTAGTAAGTATATACTCGTTGGTTTTTTGCTATGTTACACAGAGTGCCACAAAAGAATCTGTTGTAGAAAGCGATAAGTAGAATTCTACATGACACAGAGTTCCAGCCCTGATCTAAATGCAGTATATATATTTTCTATGAATCATAACCTTAAACTAAATGCCAGTAAATCTCATACAATATTATTTTTTCCTAAAAATATAGAACATAATGTGCAACAGAACCTTAAGTTATTCATTCAAAATGAACCTCTAAAATCATGTAGAAGTGCCAAAAACTTAGGCATTATTTATGACTGCAAATTAAGGTTTCAGGACTATGTTTCGCTTCTAGTCAAAAAATCGTATCTGGTTATTCGTCAATTATACAGGAATCGAGGTATTTTGAGTTTCAAATTACGTAAGTTGCTTTGTGAAAGTCTTGTATTTGTCCATCCTAAATTATGGACTTTTAATTTACTATCCTTGTTTGGATCAAATAACCAAATACAGACTTCAAAAGATTCAAAATAGTTGTTGTCGTTTTGTATTTGGTATCAGAAAGTATGATAGAATATCAAATAAAATTAAAGAACTTAGCTGGCTCAATATAGGAAATTTATTTAAATATCAGATGGCGGCCACGGTATTTCGAATTCTTTTAACCTCAACTCCCATATACTTAAAAAATAAATTGATATATCGGAAAAATCTGCACAGTTTACATTTGAGATATCCACACAACTTAACGATTCCGAATTACCGATTATCATTTTTCAAAAGATCTTTCACATATAACGCCATTTCAATATATAACAGTCTACCTAGGGAAATTAGGACATGTTCTCTGACATTTTTAAAACAAAATTATAAAATGTTGCTATTAGTCGAGCAATGAATACTGTGCTAACGTTAATATATTATTAATTTCAAACATTTTTCCTTATTTAATTGTATTTTAAGTTCCATTGATTTCAGTTTAGATTAAATACAGGGTTAACATTTTTTTAATCATAAATTAATTGTATATTAAATTTCTTATTTTTTTTATATTGTAAATGATGGATACCTTTTGATTATTTTAAATTTATATTTATGTTGAGGTTAAGTTGAGTAGCGCAAGCTAGACTTCGCCTCATGATGTTTATGTGCATTGTATATTACAAGCAAATAAAGGCAATTTATTATTATTATTATTAAATGCTAAGTATGATTGCAATATGGGTTATTAGAATGGTAAAATTTCTCACGCCAATAATGTCCAAAGCCAATACGATGTATTTAAACTTATAACAGAGTAAATTACAACCGAATGGCATTAAAAAGTAAAATTTTAATTTTTTGAAGATACGGCGTATTAGAATTAGACCATCGAAATATAATTAAACATCTCATCTTTATTTCGAATGGTCCATGGTTTAACATACCTATTGTATAATACTGAGATAAAAGGTGTTATTGGGTTTTTTACATTTTTTAAGGCCTTAAAACACGCCGCAGTCTCTATTAGAATTTCTTGAATAAATAGCATGAAATCCAATAAAATTCAAGAACAATTTTATATAAGTATTTTCACTTTGAACGGCGCCTTTAGACAGACCAGGCAATACAATTTGTTATTGTTTGCAAGGTTCAGAGGAAAAAGAACTGATAGTCACCCACGAAGGAACTTTGTGTGCATAATCCATTGGTGCCATCAGATTTATCATCTAAGGCATGAGTTTCCAGGTATGGGCCAAGAAACTGGTTGCACGTGAGACATGAGTTACGCCTAAATTGCAATATTTACACATGCATGTGAGAGATGAGATACAAGTTGAGGAACCACTACCCTGCCTAGACCTTGCGCCTGAATGGCTATATTTTTAATTTCATAGTAGGCATGCGATTTACCCACTAAGGGCTAAACAGAATTTTTTTCGGGACGTACTACTGCGGTAGGGTTGGGTAAAACAGGTTAATTTCGTTTTAAAAATTATTCAAATCGGGTAACTTTGGACCCGGTTTTTATTATAAATCTGAATTTATTTATTATTGTTGCACAATTATATTAAATAATGCACCTACTGGTGTTCCTGTAAAATTATCTATATGAATTTTAAATTAAAAAAAAAAATAAAATTTATTGTAAATAATATAAAAAAAAATTATTTTTGGGTATGGTCCAAAGTTATATTGGATTTGGGGTAACATTGACCAAAGTATTTTTATCGAGATAAATTACTGATTTCTTACAATTTAAAGGCTACGGGTAAGATTAAACCATATTAGTTTTAATGTAGAGACCTCAGGTCAGTTATTAGTTATAATTAATTTGTATTTAAGTTGACAAGGACACCAGCAAAATAATATCATCTTTTTTAGAACCTTTCTTTAGTGGCATTTCACCCATATACGTTTGTGTTGGAACATATATAGAAACATAATTTATAAAAAAAAAATCAAAAGTTTTATTCATGGTCTGGTCTAATGTTGCCCCATTGGTCCAAAGTTACCCGATTTGACTGTATATTGAGCATTAGGAAGCTATTTTGCTCCAGAGTGTTGATAATTCTGAAATGAGTGTTTAATTAGAGATGTGCCGCAGTATAATTTGTATGTAGATGTGGAAATTCCGAAAATGCTCTAATTCCTCCTCATATCCCCAAAGTGAAAACAAACCGAAGGAAAATTGAACAACTGAGAAATAAAGAAAGAAAAAATGCGTGCTAAGACCGGGAATCAAACCTGGAACCTCGACCAATTGGGCCATCTCAGCACGTACGCTTTGATGTCCGAATTCGTAAACTCGCGTCGGTACTCACAAATTCTCATCCCATCTCAGCTCTCTAAATTCTTCTTAAATCCACCCTTTTTTGACAACGTGTAGAAATACAGTATTTATAATTACATTAAAACTAAATATCTAAGATCCTTCATTCGTTCAACAGTGCTAAGTTTTCGAATATGGAACGACGTAAACGTGAAATGAAGGTGACAAAATCGGTTTAGATTCGAAAATATAACCAATAATTGGAACAATCTCTTGGGGTTATTACAAAAAAAAAAAAAAAAAAAAAAGATACTTCTGGGTGAATATAACTAGAAAATATCGGAAGCCTGTATCAGCCTAAGCAAGAACAAGCTACGCATTGTAAGAGGGATCCTTACTGAGCATTTCCGACTCAAAGGACACCTTAGTAAACAGAGTAGTAGAAGATAGTAAGTGCAAATTCTGTGAGGAGGAAGATGAAACCTCCATCCACATTCTTACTGAATGTGTAGCACTTCAGAATCAAAGGGCATAGGAGCATACTAAATAGAAGAGGTCGATCTACCTAATGAAGCTACTCCACATCCTTGAGAAGATAGGATTGGAAGGGTCGTTATTTCTCGAAATGGTGAAATTTATGCTATTAAAACAAGTATACTTTTTTGTTTAAATAAACATGGTATATTATAAAGATTTGAAAAATTTAGAAAACCAAGAAAAAAAAGGCATAGAGTATATGGCGCCTTCTTTGTCTTATCTCAAAATTGATAATATAATACACTATCATTTACTAGCCCAAAAATATAACCCGACCAAATATATTTTAACTTTAACATGCTGTATATGTGCAGCAGATATCATTTGACCCAGGGTTAATTAAAAAAATATTAATATTGTAAAATCCTGAAGCTATGATTAAAATATTTACTATCCCTGAGATTATGAAAGGTTTAAAATGGTTTTATAAATACTTAATATTAATTTTTTTAAATCATCCCCTTTCATATGGATTAATTTTAACAGCTTTTTTTAGGACATCAAGGAATTGTAGAAAATAATTGTAAATTTATATATTTGTTAATGGCAATACTGTTACTTGGGTAAATAGTTACTCAATAGTTGTTAACAAGCACTAATCTCAATTTGAGACTGAATCATACTATAGATATATTTCGCACATAGTATATATAAAAAAGAATTATCTAGTCCTTTCGACAAAACCAATTAATATTTATTCAATTGTAAATATTCCATAGTCTCTTCTTACACTAATGTATATAAAAAAACAAATATTTTTGTCAATTGTGTAAAAAGAAAACAAACTAATTATTTATTTACATTTATTAAAACTTTGAACATTTGTACAAAAAATATTGTAAATGAAAGAGGGAGTACACTTTTTAGAGTGAAATACTATGCAAAATGCAAGTAATATAAACTGAGTATTTTTTTCTTAATATCTGTTCTTTTGTTAGAAAATTTTTATAGTCTTATGACTAAATATAAGTTATTCTGGTCATTGGGTCACAAAAAGTGGACTCGGTCTTTTAATTCTTACCTTAACCTCAAAATTGAACAGGCAGATTTTATAACATAATCACTGTTAAAACATTCGTTTTCTAAAGTCTTAATCATTCGTAATTGTTTTTAATAGCAACCATAATAATATCACATTTTTAGAATAGTTGCGAGAAAAAAAAAATAAATATATATGTCAATTACCATTTTTACTCGCATAGGTATAAAACATTCATTTTTTTAAGTTGTTATAAATATAGCCAAAATTCGCCAAAAAAATGATGTGCCATTTTGTTCAAGATCCCTTTAATTGTCAAAAAATGTATTTCCATTTTATTTTATGGTCACTATAAAAAAATACCAATTTTCAATAGCTATTAAAATTGTTGCTATAAAAAACAGTTAGCAATTTTTTCAAATAGTTGCTAAAAAAGATGTAATTTTTTGATTAGCTACTTAACTAAGCATTTAGTAGCTATAAAAGTACATGTTTTAACTTAGCCATCGTATAAAATTAAACTGCATAAAATCCGCCCATATTAATTTAAGAAAATATAAATTTTTGGAATTCCGACATATCTACCTCCAGTTTATCCAAATCTATAAAGTTTCAATTTTATAAAAAAGTAGACAGGTCTTTTTTAAAATATAAATCTACCAATTGTAAATTAAGTCTTAAAAATTACAAATAAAAATAAATTAATAAACATATATCACATCTTTTTTTTACCTAATTTTGGTTTTTAGAAATTCGAAAAATCTTCATGGAAAGAAATGAGCAGAAGTAAAATAGCTTTTTTACTTTTTCAATATTTTTATAACTTTTTAACTCAAAATTCTCTTAAAGCACGCAAATTGAATTAAAAATAAAGCCCAATTTTTTAAATGATTTTTAAATACACCTTTACTTAAGAATGCACACATTTATCATATCAGAAACATTTAACGGGAAATACAATTTATACACATAAATTATTTCTTATAATTGTAAAATTAAAAAAATAAGCAAACACATTGCAATGTCTCTTTAAATGTTCAATTGACATTTTCTTTTTCATTTTTTAAGCATGATTTTCAAAAGGATCAAATACCATATACAAATTCTAAAAAAATAAGTATTACAAAAATTGAAACTGAAATATATACATAATCCTTAAAAATCGGAAAAATTTCCTTGAAATTAACTGAAATTCAGGCGAAACAATTTTCTTAATTTTAACAAGTATTTCAACACATATATTTTCCGATACAAGATACAACGATTCCTGCCTCTATCTATGGTCTACAACATTTACGACAATCAACGTAGATATCAAATTAAAACATGTTCCTCGTTATTTACTTCACACATTCAATTCCTTCCGAGAAGAGTCGGCATACCAGCAAACTTGTTTGGCACCTTTTTTTGCAATCTGGTGTCCAACGAGATTTTTACCCTCTCTGGTAACGATTTTAGTTCTTCATCGTCATAGGTGTACATGAACTTGCAATTACCGAGTTCCAGTTCCTTTTTCTCCATCATCTCATTGGCGTGATCTAGGCAATAGGTTATGCCTTCCACCGTATCGAACATCTATACATAAAGGTGATTTTGTTACGATATTTAATGCCAATCGAAAAATAAAATAATGTTTTAAGTGATCTATTTAATCCTGAGCATTTTCTGTTGAAGACAGAAAAGCGAGAAATGTAATAGAAATAGGAAAATCAAGAAAAAAGCAATGAAGAATGTACAGGAGGAAATTGATAGATAAATTAAAAAGATCCGAACTGATAGGGAAAAAACTTTGATAGAGATGAAAATCTATATAGATATAAGAAATAAAGAGACTCAATACTCACCATAGACAAAAACAGACTGCACCTACATATCTCACACTCATAATCCCCCTCATCGCCTTGCTGGAATTTCTTCTTCTTTCCCTTAGCCACCTCCGGTATGGGCAACTTCTCCCTGACCACCTCGCCCATCTTCGCCAACCGTTCTCTCCTGTTCAGCTCACCGCCGCACAATTCCTGAACGAGCGGCAATGTCTGTCGCACGATTTCCACGTTACATTTTCCATCATTGACCACGCTCGTCAGCAGCCGTTCCAAAGAGAACATGGCGGGTTCGTTGCTGCGTCTCAAACCGTCGAACAGCGCCCGAGCAGTTCTGAGCCAGTACGTCGGCGCGAAAAAGACGCTCTCGGACACTACATAACCCGTACTGATGCTGGAAGTGAAAGCCTTGGGGAACACTACGATGAACTGACCGGGTTCCTGCACCGAGTGACACAACGAGACGTTGTTTTCGACCAACAGGTTCGGCGGTACCATTATGGTGTCGGAGGGCAGCCAGAGTTCTTTGTTTTTGCAATAATTCGGCACGAGCGTTTTTAGAGCCGCGTGGAATTGATCGCCCATGGAGTTGGGAACGCCGTACCAGATTTTTGTGCCGCCTGTGTGTAGGTATTCGATCCAGGGAAGGCCGTGCGGGTCTCGGTACCAACAGCAGGCGCTGAATACCATGCCGAAGTGCAGAGTTGGTACTGTGACACCTGTAAAAATAATATATATAATACTCTAATTTAGTGATAATGTAATTTTAGTTCCACTGGCAATTAAAGTAACAGTAGACTTTTTGAATGCGTTTTGTTTGTATTGTTTACCTAAACTTTTTAACTTTTATAAATATATTCATAAAGTAAGTAGACAACATGTATCAAATACACAATAATTTAGTTATCAGTTACATACCTTTAAACTATTTTAACCGACTTCAAAAAAGGAGCAGGTTCTCAATTCGTCGGTATATATATTTTTTATGTATGTTCAGCGATAATTCTTTAACACTGTGTCCGATTTCAATGATTCTTTTTTTGTTAAAAAGGGGGTACCTCAGGGGTGGTCCCATATAAATTTGGTCGTCAAGATGTGGTGATGGCACCTGCACGATTTTGAAGTCGGTTTTTTTAAATTATTTTTAATACTTGTTTATGACTTGTAAACCCTATTTAGAAAAAAACTAAAAACGTATATGTCAAATTCAATGATGTTTTTGTTGAAAGTTTAGTTATAAGTTAATTGTCAGTGGAACCAAAATTGCATCACACTAATATGGCGTATTAGACATTCCAACGACCTGTCAAACAGTAGCTGTCAGTGGAAAGGACTCTTATATCTAAGGGGGTTGCGACATAGCCTTCATCTTGGACGCTATTATTATTCGAAATAGTAGTCACTATAATAATATTATCATTGTGTTCGACATAAAATATTTAAATTTAATCCATTATTCATTATTTCACGTATTGTAGATATAATACATTGTATGTCGCAACCCTTTAGACATACCAAACCACACCGACAGTTCTTTTGCTTGGAATGCATAATTAAATTAAAATTAAATCTGTGATAGTTTGAACTGAAAATACAAATTTTGGAGTTAAGCAACTTCTGCTCTGAAGCGATGATTTTTCAACTTGTAAAGCACACCGAGCATTAAAGATCTAGTTAAAAACTGGAGGGTATCGAGTGAACCATCTCTATCTGATCACAAGATAATTGTGTTTACATTCCTGAGACGATCCTCAGGAGGAATCCTAGAAAAACAGACTGGGACAAATACAACACCATTCTAAAACAAAATATAGTATGTATCCAGACAAAAAAGGGGCCGGGGCACCCACTTGCTCTAGAAATCGATCTCGAAGAACTAAATGGTGTAATACTTGAGGCATATGAATCAAGCTGCCCCATTCAAAGAAATAGAACTAGTAGGGATGCTCCTTGGTGGAACCGTCATCTGTCAAACTTACGATCCGAAGAGCGGAAGCTCTATAATAGGGCCAAGCACAGCGGAGATTGGCAGAGCTACACCGAGGCGCTTACTACTTACAACAAAGAAATCAGGAAAGCTAAACGTAACAGCTTTAGAAAATTCTGCGAGGATAAACTCTACACCTGCGGCAGCAAGACTGCACTGGGCCCTGGCAAAAGGGAGAGTTGATACAGTTATGGCATTAAAGAAACCAAATGGAAGCTTCACGGAGAGTGAAGAGGAAAGAGCTCGCCTCTTACTCGAAACTCATTTTTCTGGAAGCACACCTTTTCTAATAAGGGACACAACTAAGGTAAGCAGACCCCCAAGAGAGGCCGCTGTAGTGGCCAAACACATATGCAGCAGAAATCGGTTAAGGTGGGCCGTAAACACTTTTCAACCGTTTAAGTCTCCAGGTGTGGATGGAATATTTCCTGCCCCAGGAGGAATTACTACCACACATAATCCGGCTATCCCGGAGCAGTCTGGAGCTGGGATATATACCAGAAGCATGGAGAAGGACCAGAGTCACCTTTATTTCAAAAGTAGGGAAAAAGGATACCACACATCCTAAATCTTTCCGTCCAATCAGCCTAACATCCTTTGTATTAAAAACAATGGAGAAGGCTGTTGATAATTATATCAGAACAGAAGTCCTGAAGAGGGTGCCACTCCACCACAGCCAACACGCGTACCGAGCAGGAAGATCTACAGAAACTGCCCTGGTACAGTTGACTGATGTAATCCAGGATGCACTGACAAACAAAGAAACGGTCATGTGTGCCTTCCTAGACATAGAAGGAGCTTTTGACAACACGCCACACGAATCTGTAAAAAGAGCACTTGCATACAGAGGAGTAGATAACATCACATCTAGATGGATGGCTCAGCTGTTATCTACAAGAACTGCAGAGACACGGATAGGGCAGGACACCATCTCCATCTGCACAACCAGAGGATGTCCACAAGGAGGAGTTCTATCCCCACTAATGTGGAGCCTAATCGTAGTCGAACTTTTATGCAGATTGACTGACCTCGGCATACCCTGTCAAGGTTATGCCGACGACATAGTCATATTTGCTAGTGGCAAGTTTAGTAATATCCTGTGTGATATAGTCCAGCGAGGACTAGAACATACCAAAAGATGGTGCCGTGAAGTGGGACAGTATAAACCCTACAAAAACAACACTAGTAGCCTTTTCAAGGAAAATGAAACTTAATCTCAAAACCGTTAAATTAGACGGGATACATATAGAATGGAAAAATGAAGTCAAATATCTAGGCCTAACCCTGGACAACAAACTTCTCTGGAACACGCATGAGAAGGAAGTAGTAAATAAGGCCACAAAAGCCCTAATGGTATGCAGAAACATTGCAGGTAAACGATGGGGATGTAACCCAAACATACTGCGATGAATGTATACTGCAATAGTGAGACCAATCATCATTTACGGGGCTATAGCCCGGAGTAACAGAACTAGTTTAGCTACTACGAGAGCTAATATCTCAAAAGTACAAAGACTAGCCTGTGTTTGCATTACTGGTGCAATGAGAACCTGTCCTCCGGCCGCAATGGAGGTGATCTTAAACCTCACCCCTCTACATTTAATGATCGAGAATGTGGCAAAAAGGACACGATATAGAATGATCAGGAACGGAGTAATCAGACGAAAGTCTACTTGCTTCAGGACTAAAGATACCTGGGACATGCCCCAGGATGAAATGCAAAAGAAGTACAGTTTTGTGAAAAACTTCAAAACCACAGAGCTGGGCTGCAAGAAAGAATGGAGCCAAGAATCCGTCGCGCTTGCAGTGGTATACGGACGGTTCCAAAACCATAGAAGGAACTGGAATAGGAGTGTATGGGCCGAGAACCAAGCACTCCGAAAGCTTGGGAAAATGCCCAAGCATCTTCCAGGCGGAAATTCACGCCATCGAGAAGTGTATCCAGTTTAACATCGAGAGAAACCATCATAGACAAGAGATTATCATCATGTCCGATAGTCAAGCAGCCATCAAAGCGCTGAGCTCTTACGTAATCAGCTCAAAAATGGTCTGGAGATGCCTAGAACAATTGAATGAGCTAGGCGAGAAAAATAGAGTTACTCTCACTTGGGTCCCGGGACATAACGCGGTACAGGGTAACGAGATTGCAGATAGTCTTGCAAGGAAAGGGGCTCAAACACCCTTTGTAGGACCTGAGCCGTTCTGCGGTATCAGCAGTAACATAATATTAGGAGAGATTAAAAAATAATTGGGCAGTAGAAGAACCGATAATTGGAACAATCTCTTGGGGCTGAGACAGGCCAAGATACTTCTGGGTGAATATAACCAGAAAAGATCGGAAGCCTGCATCTGCCTGCGCAAGAACAGGCTACGTTTGTAACAGGGATCCTTACCGGGCATTGCCGACTAAAAGGACACCTAAGTAAACTGGGAGTAGTAGAGGATAGTAAGTGCAGATTCTGTGAGGAGGAGGACGAAACCTCCATTCACATCATAACTGAATGTGTAGCACTCCAGAATCCAAGGGCACTATATCTAGGAGGATATCAAATAGAACAGGGAGATTTGCCTAACTTGAAGCCACTTCAAATCCTACACTTCCTTGAGAAAATAGGATTGGAAGGGTCGCTATGGCTCCATGACAAAACAGCGCAGGACAAAATGGCGCAGACAAAATAGCGCAAGGACAAAATAGCGCAGGACAAAATAGCGCAAGGACAAAATAGCGCAGGACAAAATAGCGCAAGGACAAAATAGCGCAAGGACAAAATAGCGCAAAGACAAAATAGCGCAAAGACAAAATAGCGCAAAGACAAAATAACGCAAAGACAAAATAGCGCAAAGACAAAATAGCGCAGAACAAAATAGCGTAAGGACAAAAGGCAAGGAGAAAAATAGTGCTCAACTATAATTACTACCACTATTTTAATTTACAAAATTCGCATACAGTTCTAAAGTTTAAGTTAGTAATAAGTCAGATTTTTATAATTTTATTCTTTTTATATCAAATAAAATAATATCAGTGTAATAATTTAATTGAAAATTTTACAAGATGTCTAATAACAAATTATAACGGTACGCAAGCATACACTTAGTCGAACAAACCACAAAAATTCAGACTAAATACTAAGTAAAGGAGCAATATTTCTTAGATAATCCAGCGATGATACAGTGCCCCAAGTCTTTATCAGTGCTTTTATTTTTCGGTTTAGTGTAATATATTTCTTTTTAGAAGCTTCTGGTCTCCGCTCGCCGTTATTAAAACGTTGTATGATAATTTCGTAATAATCAATTTCTCTTCTAATTTGACTAACTAATTTAAACATTGATGGACGATGACAGTCTAAAGTTTTTTGAAATGCATTATGCCATGCTTCTACTGAATTATTCGTTCTCGGAAGATCCATTAAAACTCGATCACACATATTCCAGTGGGTAATTGGAAAAAGAGGAACTTCGCGCGTTCCTAACTTAACCCGACCAATATAATACTTTTCCCAATAAGTCAAAAGAGGTCGTAAATCTGGCACACATATTTCAGAGAGAACGTCAAAAACAGAAGCCACTTCTCTTGGAGGAACAAAACATAACGCTAATATCATTTTAGCATTAATACGAAATTGTTCGTTTTCTCTATAAGTTTTCGTTAAATGCAATTTTTGAATTTTTCTCCACAAGCTTTGTCCCAAATGAAACAAACAACCAATAATCTTCAAATTAGGAAAAACAGAAGCGGCTGCATTACATATCGCTTCTTCAAAATCGAGCATCATTGTAACTGGTGTTAAATTTGGTTCAATCTCTTTGATTGTTCGAAAAAATCTTACATAAGTGTCTTCGGATTTATTCAATAAAAAAGCATAAATTAAAGGAATTGCTCTGTTGTCGATCAACGCATGTAAAGTAAATACTTGGGTAAAAAATTCTGGAGCAACTTTGAATGTACCGTCTGCTAACCAATTTTCGTATTTTTGTAAGAGACTTACATTTTCCCTTGTCCCAAAAATTATCATTCTCTTAGGGTCTTTGACACCAGAATCCCATAGAAGCATATGTTTTCCTCTAGTTGTAACTTGTAGATCTTCTGGAATTATTAATTCACGTAACGATCTGTAATTAGTGTAATGTAATATACATTTATTCCTTTGGCGATGAATATTTTTTTGTAGAGACGTATATTTCGGCAGTGAAGATGAAGCGAGCAGAGACATTCCTTGAGTTGCTTCTTGAATTACTTCTCTAGCCTTAACTCGTGTTTGGTTTGCTTTTTCTCTAATTTTATTTACTACAGTACGGGCATTATTATCCTCTATATCAGGTGCATGGTTATGCATAGTTATAATCTTTGGAGTCTCTTTAATTGTCTTCACACGTCCTTTACACCATACCTTAATGCATCTCCATGATTTTGATTCATCAACATTGACTCTATCTAACCTGTAGCGATAGCTTTCAAATATTAAAATATCTCTGCCTTTTTGTGATTGAATGAATTCCATATTTAAATCACTGCTATTTCAAAATAAAAGTCAAATACCTATATCCAAGGAAACCAAATTATTCAATAATAAAAGAGATGAATCGTAGTTTACCATAGATTAGGTAACAGGGGTCGGTCAGACCATACGAATAAAATGTTAGAGAGACGGAGCTACAGTCCAAACATTTAATACATAGGCGTCGCCGATACAGTATTCGTTACGCATTATTTCAAGGAATTACATTAAAAATTTCTTGTTCGTTTGCCCTAGTTTTTCCTTGTAAGTATTCTAATTGAAATAAAAAAAACAACCAATTTACCTAACCTGTGCTGCCTGGTGCCATTGCATGTTGCACAAGGCACAGGTTAGGTAAATCAATTAAGTTTTGTTTTATTTTAAATAGAACACTAGAATATTTTGATCTTGCGCTATTTTGTCCTGCGCTGTTTTGTCCTTGCGCTATTTTGTCCTTGCGCTATTTTGTCTTGCGCTATTTTGTCCTTGCGCTATTTTGTCTGCGCTATTTTGTCCTGCGCCATTTTGTCCTGCGCTGTTTTGTCATGGAGCCGGGTCGCTATAGGCATTGAGACATTTCCTTAGTGCAGTGGCGACAGAAGGGGGCACAATAGATATTTTAGGTCGCAGTGTATTAACACCCCATTCTCAACTAACATAATTGTCAGTGAAACCAAAATTGCATCACACTAATATGGCGTATTAGACATTCAAACGACCTGTCAAACAGTAGCTGTCAGTGGAAAGGGCTCTTATATCTAAGGGGGTTGCGACATAGCCTTCATCTTGGACGCTATTATTATTCGAAATAGTAGTCACTATAATAATATTATCATTGTGTTACGAAATAAAATATTTAAATTTAATCCAATATTCATTATTTCACGTATTGTAGATATAATACATTGTATGTCGCAACCCTTTGGACATACCAAACCACACCGACAATTCTTTTGCTTGGAATGCATAATTAAATTAAAATTAAATCTGTGATAGTTTGAACTGAAAATACAAATTTTGGAGTTAAGCTACTTCTGCTCTGAAGCGATGATTTTTCAATTTGTAAACCCTTAGACTGAAAATGTCAGATAAAATTTGTAGCAAGAATATCATAGCCTACTAGATAGGCTCCGCAAAAAGAGAATGACCCTCGAAGTAATTTTTCTCAATATTTCACACCAGATTAGATAAAAAAAAATCTAGCACAAAATCACTAAATACAACAAAATCTAAACAAAGCGACATCACCCTGAGAGACTACTACCATCTTGTGTGTGATTTTCTACATAGATAAATATTTCTAGTGGTACTGTGATCGAATTGGTCATCAATTAAAAGAGACTGAACAGATGTTTACCAAAAGTTCAGCAAATACAGGGCGAGTCGGGAGGAGCGCACCAAACTCTAGGAGTATATTATACACGTGAAAATAATGTAAAAAAACTCATTATGTTCTTATCCGATTTTCATTTGTTTTCAAGTTATAGCATATTAACAAATAAACAAATTTACACATAAAAATTCTCTTATTTTAAATTTGAATAAGTATCTGGCATTTTGCAACACTAACAATCACATAAATTCAAAATTAAACGTTCAGTTACTGTACACTGACAGTTCATCAAAACGTCAGAATTATCAAATGCCTTTGAGCCTTGAACATATGGCATACTTTGATAATGTTAAAATTCAGAAGTGGAAATGTAGATGAACATTTTTAATTACGCCATAACTTGAAAACAAATGAAAATCGGATAAGAACATATGAGTTTTTTTACATTATTTTCACGTGTATAATATACTCCTAGAGTTTGGTGCGCTCCTCCCGACTCACCCTGTATATCAGTAGAAATTGGATCATAGGAGGGGGTTTAAGAGGGTTGGTAAGTTAAAAAAAACGAATTTTGAGATTAAAACAACAGGGCATTAGAAATTACATTTTTTCTGTTGAAAAATATAAATCTCATAGGTGAACTTTGAGAAGATTAAAAAAACTTTAAATTCGCAAAAAAATTGTATGGCTTTAAAACTATAGAGTACCTACATACTTTTTTACTCCAATAAATTTAAACTATTTCAATTATAACTGTATTTATTAAAGATACCATTTAAAAATCCTTACTAATCCTAAAAAAATTAAATAATAGCTGAACATTTGGTAAAAATAGTTATGGTTTCTCTTAAGGGAACAATGTTTTGCCATCTGCACTGAAAGTAGAACAAAATTTTTTAACATGTTTTGGTGCAAATTCTCGAGCTGAGTAAGGGCACTTTACTTCGACAATTAAGCTCCTAATAAACCATAACCTTTTTTTAAACAGACGAATAAACCACATTCAACAAGTGTATTCGTTGTAAGAGAAGAATATGCTTTCGTTAAGTTTACCATTTATTCGATTTGTTTTAATAACGGTTTATACAATATTGATTCAACCAATTTTCCAAAATTTATTCGTTTTTTTTGCAAATAATACCAAATTTAGAAGCAACTTGTTTTTCTATAAAGTTGAAGTAACCAAATAGGACCAAATTAATAAGCCAAACCGGCAGCCTGACATCTAATTTTGAAACTATATCTTCTACCATAAAATGTTTGCATTATTAAATTTAACAATTTTACCCGTAAGGGGGTGAATTAGGGGGAGTATTATTAATATTATTATTATTTATGGCCATATGATCGGTGACTCCATTCACCATCAACAATTACAGCAGACTGTCCTAATTTTTCTGATGTTATATTATTAGTTTCGATATTCTTCTTTTTCTGCTTCTTGAATAGCATTTGTTAGACACTCCTGCCATATTGTCCCCAATTCTTGTCGATATTTTATAAAAAATCTTAATATCAAAAGAAGGAATATCCAATTTTGACAAATTTTCTTGCAAAGAGTAATGTCCTTTGCCAGTAGATGTAGTAACTAGAAGATTTATCTTCGTAGTTTCTTTATTTATGGTTCTAGATTTCGCAAATTCACAAGCGGAAAATTTAAAAAATAATTTTGAATTTGGCCCTATATTGAATTCCTTGTCAAATGCTAAATAATCAGTTCTTTGTTATGCAACATTTATGACTTTGCAGTGATCTTATATCACCAATGAAATGACGATTCGTCTACCAAAGATGGGAAATGAAAACTATCCACTCTAAATAATTTTAAAGGTGAACGTCGTTCTGTTCATGTATACTTGTAACTTTCACACTCTCCACGTTTTTCCAATGAAACACCCTCTATAGTGGTAAGATAATAACTCAAAATGGATCCCATATAAATACATTTCATTAAGTTAAATGACAATCGGTTTTGGCCTTAGGCCATTATCACGTCTAAAAATTAAGTGATAAGTGCGAACAATACACTAGAAGCAAAATTATATGAAGTGTGGCAACACTCTAGTTATTATTTTGCTAGACGTCTCTTTTAGCGGCGATATAAACTAACGAAATATTGTTGCATCACATACAGAACCCTGTAACTTTAATAAATTGTGTATTAAATTTGATTCGACAGGTAGAGTCATCTCTAGTCAGAAATGAGTGAAGAGCTAGGTCCATATAAACAATAACTAGAGCTAATTTATGTCTACTGCGCATGCAAAATGGTACTACAGATCAGAATTCTTTCCGCGAATAAAGCTATTATAAACACACAAACAATTACCCTTTCTATATATTCTTATAATAGGTAAGAGGAGAAAAACGCTTACCCATCAACGGTCCCAAAGAGCGAAGGATAGATCCAGTGTTGTTAGTCAACATTTTAAGATTCCACGGATGTTTGGCAAACGGGCTATTTTTCGTCACGGGAAACCCGTAACCCCAATTTCCGCAATCTATCGATCCAGAATGGACGCAAATGTGATTCTCTCGCAACACCACGTACTTCCAATATTCCTGTTCCACCTGCAACAAGCGATGTTTTAGTCTGCAGAAGCAGAAACTATAATTTAAAGAAATTTTAATTGGTAAGGCTTTGAAATAAACGTAATAGCCAAATTGATCGATCTTCCCACAGCTTATGATTTGAAATTTGGGTCCGTTGAACGTATTAGGTACAAAATAAGACATTTGTGCTTACCTCTTGAGGTGTGGGTTCATTCGTTTTAAAATACATGCTCATCGTATTTCTTGCTATTCTATAAAAAGCGTTCAGCGCCACATTCCGTCCTTTAGTGATGCATTCTTCAGAATCTTCATCGATCTCAGAATCACCTTCATCCAGTTTACCCTCTTGCGATTTTACTAAATTTCTAGATTCCTTTTTGGCCCATTCTGTCTCGACTTCGTCGAAGAGCTTCTCCCTTTCGGCTGGAAAATAATTTTCAAATATAAATACGGAATTACCGGAAGTTCGAACAAATTTTCTTACCTGGCGAAAGAGTATCATAAGGTAACAAGTATTTGCAATAGATGTCGTCTAATTTCGTAACGCGATCTTGTGCCGATTTGGGTATTTTCATCAGTTCGGAAACTTTGGACCATTTTTTCTTTTCGATGACTTCCTTCAGACCGCCCAGACATTGAACAGTTTGATATAAACGTGGTAGGTCGATTTCCATTCCGCCGATCTAAAATTTTTAGAATATTTATGTTTGCATTGGTATTTTTCTACAACGAGCAATTAATTATCCAATTAAATCATTCAATATAATCAAGAAAACTCCAAACTTATTCTATTGAATAACGCAACGTTACCACATTTATGACTATGGATAATCTTTTGTACAATTGGATAATTATTTGATTGTTGCATGCTGAATTTATGGACGGGGTAGAAAACAGATTTATTAAAAAAATCTACATCAAATAGATTTACACCCGGACATCTATTAGCTAAAGATTGAAGTAGTACAGGGTGGCGCGTGGCAGAGGCATGGATTTTGAAATGAAATAAAACGCAGACTGTTAAAAAATCTCTAATTTTTTTATTATTTCCTTTTTTATTAGCATGGGAAGTTTAGGTTTTAAACAAAGTATCGCCCAAATGGCGCCCCTCACACTCCAAACATTGAGCAAGTCTTTTTCTAAAGGATTCGTGTACTCTTTCAAGCATTTCCACAGGCATTTCGGCGATTTGAGCTCGAATGTTGATTTTGAGGGCTTCCAGGGTCCTAGGACGATCTTTATAAACCTTGGATTTCAGGTATCCCCACAGGAAAAAATCACAAGGTGCCAAATCAGGAGAGCGCGCTGGCCAGATCAAATCGCCTCTTAGAGAGATGAGGCGCCCGGGAAATCTGTCTCGCAATAAGTCCATGCAAATCCTTGCTGTGTGGGCTGTGGCTCTGTCCTGCTAAAACCAGACGTCTTCCAGCTTCATCGCTTCCAACTGAGGCAAAAAAAAATTCCTGGAGCATGGCCAGGTAACGTGCAGAAGTGACGGAAACCGCTCGATTATTTTCTTCAAAAAAGAAAGGGCCGATGATCCCAGTTCTTGAAATTGCACACCATACTGTCACCCTGTCGGAGTGCAAGGGCCTCTGGTGTAGCTCCTTGGGATTTGTGTCACTGTAATACCGCATATTTTGTTTATTAACACATCCAATGAGGTGAAAATGGGCCTCGTCAGAGAAGAAAACGATTACGTCTCGAGGCAATGCAGCAAGCATATTTTCACTAGCGCGTGCTCTGGCTTCAAAATCACGAGGCTTTAATTCTTGGACGACAACCATCTTGTAGGGGTGATAATGAAGATGTTGTTTAACAATTCTTTGAATAGAACATCTCGAAATGCCGAGGGCACCTGCCTGTTTCCGAACTGAACGCCTGGGAGATCGTTGAAGTGCATCTCGTACCCTCCGGATGTTTTCTGGGGTAGTGACGGTAATCGGAGGCCCCCTTCTTACCGTGGACACATTTTCTGTATCCTGGAATGCTTTAACCCACGCAAGAATTCGATTGCGATCGGGAATACGGCCTCGGGGGGTTATATTAAACCTTAAACGGAAAGCACGCTGCACGCGGATGATAGAACGGGCGTTCGACAAATAAGTTTCGACACAAAAGACGCGTTGATCAACAGACCACTCCATAACGGCGACTGACACCGAGCGGTACATAAATTTCCCTTCCTCCCCTTTTGTGCCTGCCGACTCTCAACCGTCTAGCAAAATTAAGACCATACTAATCCCCCCTTCAAATCCATGCGTCCGCCGCGCGCCACCCTGTACAATTACAGAAATCTTCAATGGTAAATTCTGACCTATTATGTATTGGTGGGAGTGCCAACAGGTTTGCCAGTGAAAAAAATATATAATAGACCAGAATATTAAATACCATTTTTTATTAATTACTGGAATTTTATCAAATAAAACATTTATTTCATAAACTGTGTCGTTTTATAGTCCATTTATAAAATTATTATAATAATAGTAACTTTACGACATATTTTAGATGATAACGTATATTTTGTTTTAATACTTTTATTGTAGTTAAAAATTATTATTTTCTTTTAATGAAATTCGACACTGACTTCGACTTCCTACACTAAATGTTGAAAAAATCAAATATATCAACTGGCATCAAAATTTATAATTTGGTTCATATTATAGTATAAGAGGCTGACTCTAATTTCAAGTCAATTGTGATTTTGAATTGACCAAAGAAAAATATAATAATTTTTGTCGTTGTTTCAATTTTTATGTACCTATTTACTTAATGCTTTAAAGTAATTTTAACTGCCATTTCGTGTAATTTCACATGTTCGTTAATTTACGAATAAAAACATGTATAATCGTTATTTATTTTGCAAGTGCGAGAAATACTGTATTTACACCCTTGCATACCTGCAATGTATGCGCAAAAATATGTTTACGCAAGTACGTCTGTTATACACACTTTTATTTACGAGTTTCCCAAAAAATTTGTATTCACAGAATAAAAAGTATTAAAGTATTTAAATCGACAATAAACATATTCTCTTATTTTTTATTTCTTTCAAAAAGTCTACATATTTAGATGTACTTTTAACGTATATGTCAAAATCAATGACAATGGTTTGATTTTGTTTGGCTCACAAATTAAGTCACACTAATGCAGCGTATTTAAACAGCATTGTTTTTTTTTTTTCATTTTAGTTTCATTTGCTTGTCATAATAAAACTCGCATTTAAAAAGTATTTTTCTAAGGATCGCATTCCAGCAAGCTCCAATCTACTTCAACCTAAAAAGAGATGAGGCCATGGCCAATGTCATAGCCGAGTTATTATTCGCATCAAATTATTATTCTGATTCTACTAGATACCTCCCTGCTTTGAAAAGCATGAATCTATACGCTAGTTCAGTTATGATTTAATTATGGTTCCACTGACAATTAAAGTGACAGTATAATTTTTGAGTGCGTTTTGTTCATTTTGTTTACCTAAATTATATCGTTTTTTCACTTTCATAAATATATTACTAAAGTAAGTAGGTAATATGCATCAAATATATACAATTGTTTAGTTACCAATTACATACCTTTAAACTATTTTTTATGACCTGTAAACAATATTTAGAAATAAACTAAAAACAGTAAAAACGCATAAGTCAAATTTATTGATTTTTTTGTTAAAAATTTGGTTAGAATTAAATGTCAGTGGAACCAAAATGACATCACACTGAACTTTGAATCCAAATTAAAACAGCACTAAACTGTATAAATATATAAATTTTCAAAATTAAATCGAGCAGCTGCTTCTATACATTTGTTTTTAATAAAAAAAAAGGATGAACATTTTTTACCTAATTTGGGTTTTAAAAATGATTTTGTATTTAGGTTAAGGTTTCTTCAATGTAAAAAAAACATTAATAAACAATTGTAAAATCCATAAAAGAGCAAAAATAAATCAGAAAGTTAATTTACTGTATAAACATTGTATTTTGAGAGACAATAGTTAAACATAGTGATTATTTAGAGCACCATCTTTATAAGAGAATCATGAACTAATGAGGAAAAATTAGTTAATATAGCAGCCATTTTTTTAAATGGCACTCTGCGATTTAACAAGGCATTCCAAAGAAAATGTCAACTTATAAATTTCCAATAGAATGATTTCTGAAAATTTGTAATATTTCTGAATCCTAAGTGAACCACATCGTAGGTAAAGGTTGAACTGAGGATAAAATACTATTAAACGTCACCTTTGAGATGAAATAAAGAGGGAATATTTTAAATGGTTGGTTTTTATCGAAAATAATAAATTTGTAAATTTCCAATAGTAAGACAATAGAACTTTATATTTAATTTGGATGAAATTAGGTTTGTATAATACTATAATATACTTCTAGTCTAAATATACGGTTTTTATAGTCAGGGATACCCCGACCTTAAAGGCGATTTTATCAGCTATTGAGCTAATTTCTGTTATAGGTCAAATTACTACTACTTACCCATGGTGGATGACTCAAACTGATACTCTGTGTCTCCAGATACTTCTTGATGGCCATAAACTCCTTAAAATTCGGCCCCCATCTATAAAGCATCTTGTTCACATACTGATTGTAAGCGGTAAATCGCATGTCATCAGTCACTTTGCACTCCGGCTTGAAGCTACTGGGCGGCACTATCTTGCAAATACCAAACTGCTCGGCTTTGTGTCTGATTCTTTCTATGTACTCCAGGGGATCTTGAAACTCCTGTTCGGTAGGGTGGAATACGGGGGCTTCCACTAACCGTGACTGTTCGTTATGTTTAGGAAAGTCGGACACGTAAGACGGAGTCATGAAATCCAATGACTTGTTCTTCTGTTTTTGCGTTTGGCGCTTGTACAGTTTAGCGCTGGAGGAAGAGCTAGCGCTCGGCGAACTAGGGATTTTGTATTTGAATTCGTCAATATCCGGTAACTTTTCCGAACTTTTTGATTTGAACAGAGATTTATTCTGCGATTTGAGCACCGATGATTTGGTGGGTTGTTGAGGGATGTAAAATTGCGTGCTGTCTTCGGTTTCCGGAGGGTTTGGAACCGGTTCTGGTTCGTCTTTGGTGATTTGTTTGGTAGTGGGTTTGCGGAACTGACCTTAAAATACCAAAAACCGCTTACAATATCTATATACATTAGGAAATTGCATAACGTTAAGGGTAGATAGATTTTACACCAAAATGGCATATTGTCGAATTTTTTTCAATTCTCTTGTTTCAAATTCGGGCAAAGGAATTTAACCCTATTCTGAGTGCAATTATTTAAATTATAAATGAGGCATATTTAGTTTAGTCTCGTAAGTAGTTTTGTAGTATTTATGCCCCACCCTTCAATTGTAATTTTTAAACCGGGAAAACCACCGACGCCCCGCAGGTCTTTCCAGTTTATAATGTAAAGTTTCCTTTTAATTGTTATATACATAAATATATAAAGTAATATTATATGCGACGTTAAAAAAAACTTACCGGTTCTTGAAGAATCCTCAATTTTGGAGCTCTCGTCCTCAGACTTAGACGTTGCAGTACTAGAAGGCCGTCTAGACGGTCTTCTGAATGGCGTACTGATAGTCTCCTCATTTTCTTCACCGAAAGCGTACACGCTGCTCTCGTTTTCGGGCGAAAAAGCGCTCACGTTCGGCGTAGGGACACACACAGATTTGCTTTTACGAAAAATCAGCTTTCTATCGACCGCCGGTTTCGTCGCGTCTCCTGATTTTGGGGTAATTTCGATTTTGGCCAAAGCTGTACTGGTATCTTCAATTTTAATGTCTTTAGATTGATCCTTTTGTTCTCCCAGTAAAGATTCTTTTAATTTTTCGGTATCTATGCTATCAGAAATTTCTAAATTCGTTTCCGTCGGTATTCGTTCCCCGAATTTCAACATTTCGTCGTTCTCCTTCTTGATGCTGCTTCCGGCTAGAGCCGAATCTTTCAGCCACTTCTCGATCTGTTCGTTGGACATGTTGACCTTCTCTTTACCGAACCGCCTACCTAAATCTTTGTTGAGAAGATCCAGTAAAGGGGGCACGTGGCTGCAAGCGACCTCAAAGGTTTTGGGTTTCGGTTCGACTTTTTCGGCAAAACCGTGGAAGATTTCGTCTTCATCTGATGATGATAGCATCGGTAAATAGTTTTGCGGCAATTTCGCGCATTCTCTTTTGGGTTTTGTTTCCATTCTAGTTGGTATAGGTACCGATTTCTTCACGGCATCTTTGGTACTGGATTTATCTGCTTTTGTTGACGATTTCTGCCCGCTGTCCACAGTTTTAATCGTTCGTTTGGATAAGGGCTCATCATCGCTATCACTGTAATTAATCTCCGCTTTCTTTATCGATTTGGTTTTGGAAAACTTCTTATTCTTCTTGTTACTTGTTTCAGAATGAATATTTACATCGGACGTGGTAGAATTTTCCGAATCGCTTGACGACAGGTTGACAGTTTTAATACCTCTGGTTACTCTGGTGGACACTCTGCTTCTGGTGATCTTTTTCTTTCTGGGAACCTTAACGTCGATGTGAAATGATTCATCTGAATCGTTTTCTTCGGTTTGAGTAATTTGGACTGAATGTCTCATTAATCTTTTAGGTTTATCTTCAGTTTCTTTAATTTCGGGAGATTTTGTTGTATCAGATTTTCGCAATTTCGATTTTGCAAATTCAATTTCAGTAGGATTGTCATTAACCGATTTTCTTTTACACACGTTTTTAGGATTATCAGAAGATTTCTTGCCATCTTCGACACTATCTGTAATATCTATTTCACTGCAAGTAGCAATACTTTCAATATCTTTAGCTTTCATAGCTTTTTTATTGCAGACTTCGGGTACTTCTGTAACTGTTTCTTCATCATTTTCTTCAATATCTTTATCATCTTTCGAGGTTTTAGCTTTTGCTTTCAACTCATTTTCTCTTTGTTCGGTCCTCTTTACGTTCGGCAATTCAGGGAAGCTATCTATCGATATATTATCATCATCGCCTATACCATCATTGACCAGTTTATGGCTCAGTATTTCCATGTAGATGGCAGCGGCTTCTTTGGATTTCCTGGAAGGTCTTTGAGATTTGGCAACAGCCTCTTCTTTTTCAGAAACAAATTTGTTAGAATCTTTACTGTCGTCTTTCCTTTTAGATTTCTTGAGAATCATTTCATCTTCAGTAATTATTAACTCTTTATCATCTTTCCTGTTGGATATCTTTCTTTCATCATGGTCAATAGCTGTTGATTCTTTAATATCTTTTCTTTTTGTTTTCTTCGACACCTCCTCATGCTTGATTTCTTCCTGATAATTAACTGTTGATTCTTTATCTTCTCTCCTTTTCGATTTCTTACTGTCATCATGGTCAGTAGCTGTTGATTCTTTAATATCTCTTCTTTTCGTTTTCTTCGACACTTCCTCATGCTTGCTTTCATCGTGATCATAAACTGTTGATTCTTTATCGTCTTTGCTTTTGGATTTCTTACTATCATCATGGTCAGTAGCTGTTGATTCCTTAATATCTCTTCTTTTCGTTTTCTTCGACACCTCCTCATGCTTACTTTCATCATGATCATTAACTATTATTGATTCTTTATCGTCTTTCCTTTTGGATTTCTTACTGTCATCATGGTCAGTAGCTGGTAATTCTTTAATATCTTTTCTTTTCGTTTTCTTTGACACCTCATCATGCTTACTTTCATCCTGATCATTAACTGTTGATTCTTTATCGTCGTTGCTTTTGGACTTCTTACTCTCATCATGGTCAGTAGTTGGTGATTCTTTAATATCTTTTCTTTTCGTTTTCTTCGACACCTCCTCATGCTTGCTTTCATCCTGATCATTATCTGTTGATTCTTTATCGTCATTCCTGTTGGATTTCTTACTGTCATCATAGTCAGTAGCTGGTAATTCTTTAATATCTTTTCTTTTCGTTTTCTTCGACAGTTCCTCATGCTTGCTTTCATCCTGATCATTAAGTGTTGATTCGTTAATATCTTTTCTTTTCGTTTTCTTTGACACCTCCTTATACTTGCTTTTATCCTGATCATAAACAGTTAATTCTATATATTCTTTGCTTTTGGATTTCTTACTGTCATCATGGTCAGTAGCTGATGATTCTTTAATATCTTTTCTTTTTGTTTTCTTCGATACCTCCTCATGCTTGCTTTCATCCTGATCATTAACTGTTAGTTCTTTATCGTCTTTTCTTTTAGATTTCTTACTGTCATCATGGTGAGTCGCTGTTAATTCTTTAATATCTTTTCTTTTCGTTTTCTTCGACACATCCTCGTTCTTGCTTTCAGCCTGATCATCAATTGTTGATTCTTTACCATCTTTTCTTTTGGATTTCTTTAATACTACTTCGTTTTTCCTTTCATCCTGTTCACTGACCAACAATTCTTCTTCATTTTGTCCTTTATTTAAAACTTCTTCTTTCTTACTTTTGTCGTTATCAGTACCAACTGTATGTTCTTTCTCATCTTTTCTTTTAGATTTATTTAAGGCGTCTTCGTTTTTGCATTCATCATGATCACTAACTATTACTATTTCTTCTGTGTCATCTTTTTTCTTAGATTTCTTAAAGACATCTACGTTTTTGCTTTCATCTTTTTCAGTAAGTATTAGTATTACTTCTATATCATCTTTTTTCTTTGGTTTCTTCAAAACTACTTCAGTAACTGAAGGTTCCTCAAGTGATACACTTGATTTCATCCTTTCTACTATTTTCATTGGATTATTGTCTTCTGTTCCCTTTTCATTGTCCTCTGTGTTAAATGTTGTTTTAAATTCAACAGGTACTTTTTTGGAAACATTTTTTTCAATTTTCTTGTCGGCCGGTTCTTCTACAGCTTTAATATGCTCGTCTTTTATTTTAGCATTTTCGTTCTTGCTTATTTTGCTCTTCGATTCGATATCTGCTTTATGTTTGGTTTGTTTCGTTTTACTTGTAATTTGTGCTGTATATACTTCGCTAACTGGTTTATGCAGAATTTCAGTTATTTTACAAGTTTCAGTTTCAATTTTTTTAACTTCTTTAGGATTTTTAACGTTTCCGGTATCTATTTCATTGTCTTTGTAGGCAATCTTATCAGGGTGTTCGTTTTTATTAGCGACCTGTTTGCATTTATCTTCAATTAACTTTATATCGTCAAATTTCTGTTTAGTTTGTTGATCTTTTTTCGCGTTATCTTCCTTTAACTGGGACTTTTCTGTTTCTAAAACGTCTGGTTCATCAATTGGGGTATTTTTAGAAGGTTTTTCATTTTTGTACAAGCTCGGTTTGGTCTTTTCTTTAGCAGCTTCCTTTTCGCCATTTTTGGGTTTCGTTTTCTTAGGTTTTTTTATATTTTCTGATTCTTTATCAGTTGTGTCAGTATCTGAAGAATTTTCGTCGTCTTTATCGGCATTTTTAACGTATTTCCCTTTGAATTTCTTTGCTTTATCTTTATCTGTTTCATTATCAGATTCTTCCGATTGATCAGTGGATTTGGGTTTGTTTTTCTTTCCAGTCGATTTTCGTTTATCACTAATTTTGGAATCTTCTGCAGGAGCTTCTTTCTTACTGTTTCCACCTTTGGTACCATCAGATTGTCTGGTGATTCTTTTGTTAGTTTCTTCTGCGCCGTCAGAGTTATTAGCAGCCTTTTTTGTATTCGGTGGATTTTTGGTACTGAATTTCTTCTGGATCACATTGGAAATTCTGCTTTTCTTGATAGCAATGGCTACGTTATTTCTTCTTTTTATATCCGTGGAAATGTTAACTTCTTTTCTGTTATCCAAGGATCTAGTTAGGTGCCGTCTATTTCCATCTATTGTTTTGCTGACTTCTTTCAAATCGGTGACCTTTTTGTAATCTTTTACAATGTCTTTACCTTTATTGGTCTCTTTTGATTCCATGCTTTGATTGACCGTCTCTCTGAGGCGTCTGGTTTCCATCTTTTGAAGCTCCCCTTTTTTGTTCGTCGTAGTCTTTTTCTGTTCGGTTTTTGTTTCTCGTTTTTTAGTATTCTCTATAGACGTTTCTTGCGAGGTATTGCGTACATTTTGCTTTACTTTAATCGGCCGATTCTTTTTGTGTGATATAACACTTTTTTTCAATGTCGTCAATCTAAGAGACCTTTGTTTGGGTTTTATGATGGTGTGAGAATTGGGGATAAGTATTCTCTTGATTTGTTTCCGTCTTATTTCAGATTTTGTGTTTATTAGGTTGGATCTTGTCGATCTCCTACTGTAAAATTAAATATCTTATGTCAGGTACAGTTCGTCCGTAGATATACCATAGAGTAAAAACAACAAGAAAGGACAGTCAGAGAAAGAGAGAGCTACACTCCAATTTAAAGGGCTCTCATAGGCATCTGTTAAGTATTTAAATAGCATGTTGTTCTCTGGTGATTCTATTATATAGTTATGCTATACCTACATTTCAACTAGTATTTTGTTTATTAAACAATATATCTCGGTCATCAAAAATTATAAAATGACTATATTGGAAAGCATCTTTAATGCAATTGATAATATTTTGAGAACAATAATGGTCCCAAAAAAGAACCCTGTGGAACCCCTGAGGGTACATCATATTGGATGGACAGACTACCATCTATCCTCACCATTTAAACTCTGTTTTTTAAATAGATTTCAAGCCAAATCAGACATCTGAAAAGTGAAGGTTTTTTAATTTAAATAGCAATAAAGTGTGATTAACAGGATAAAATTCAGAAAGAATGTTGATTGGCTATAAGATTATTCATTGAGCCCCTGCGATTTTATTTGTTCAGTGCTAAACTTATTAATCAAACAGGGATCCTTACCGGGCATTGCCGACTAAAAGGACACCTTAGTAAACTAAGAGTAGTAAAGGATAGTGAGTGCAGATTCTGCGAGGAGGAGGACGAAATCTCCATTCGCATTCTAACTGAATGTGTAGCACTCCAGAATCCAAGGGCACTATACCTAGGAGGATATCAAATAGAAGAGGGAGATTTACCTAACTTGAAGCCACTCCAAATCCTACATTTCCTTGGTTCATTAGCAACAGAAGAGGACACAATAGATCTTTTAGGTCGCAGTGTATTAACACCCCATTCCCAACATAACATATTAATCAAAAGTTAAGCAGATATAAAGCATAAAGCCATAAGTAATCTTTTAAAAATAAAGTGTAAGAACAATAAAAAGTATAGGATATTTCGAGATATTTCTATAATTTTTGGTATAATCAATCATTTATTTGAGAGATGTATAACAAGGATGATATTTATAAAGAGAGCAGTGTTGTGCAAAATATCAAACTAAAGATCAAAATAATTTTTTTTATTGTTTGAGTTTATTGAATTTTTATGATTTTATTAATACCTCTTCAATTAGAGGATGTTCCTTTTTTAATAATTTTAGGATCTTTTCTAATACAATTATATACATATCAATTTAGCAACAATGTTAACACTCCAAATTAAAGCGAATGATATTTTTGAAAAATTCAGTGTAGTGTCTCATCTTGGTAATCTGTGGATAAAGTGTAGTCTTTTTAAGTGTATAATCCTTAATTGCAGATTATATAATGAACTATTGCCAAATCTCATGGCATTTAACATGTTAAAACTAAAATAAATAAACTTAGCACTTACCCAACTGAATTTGATGCTGCAATAACTTTCTTGACAATAGGTTTAGGCTGTCTGCTTGTAGAAGGTTGGCTACTTTTATCAGTTTCTTCAAGTTTCTTCCTGACTTGTATTTTTCTTTCAGGAGGGTTTCTGCCAATGGGTTTGTTGGGAAGATCAACTCGTTTCCTGAAAGGCAATTCCTGTTGTATAAACCTTCCCCTGAAGCTTCTCAGACACATATTCTGTTTTATTTTCAATTTAGGTCTCATAGTAGTTTTCAAAGTGCGTGTGGTTACTTTTATATGTTTGGTGGCTACCACTTTGGTCTTCTGAAGTGCCCCAGTGTTGGTCTTTTTGGTAATAGTTTCAGTTTTTGATACTGTATTAGTTCTAACCAATGTTTTATTAGTTACTTTTTCAGATAGTTTACTTATTGTCAATGCTCTGATCTTTGCCATCTTTTGTTCTTGGTATTTTCTGCGTAAGGCTTGTAAAGCTAGAGCATGTCTTCTTTTTCTATCCATCTGACGACTTATAACAATTGGATCAGCTCTTTTACGCACCCCAAACGCTACAAAAGGTTTTTCTGAAGAAGAACCACACTTTGCTATATCAATAGGTCCATTTTTTGGTGAAGACTCGCTCTTGATTTCATGTACTTGCCCATTAGTATCAACTATAGATGCTGTATTGAAAAAATTCAAGTTCGGCGGTAATATGGGGGTCCCTCGGAAGCACAAGAATGTCAGAAAGTCTTCAGTGTTTGGTCTTTTTATTGGCAAAAGTTCTACAGGTTCTGGTATTGCTGCTTCAGGACTTTCTGATTCCAGCTCTCTTATTGGTGTGATTACAGGACTATTAACGTTAGAACCTTGTGCAAATTTCCGTTGAGCATGAACTTTCGTCCTTAAAAGAAAAGAACATAATACAGGGGTTCTGATTGAAACAAAGCCTATTTGGTAATTAATGATATAAATCATTCAAGCAATTCAATTCATCATTCTCTTACCTTTTAGGACTATCATCCAGTAATGGAGATGGACATGCATTTTTTCTCTTTCGTTTCATTTTCATTTCTTCTTGATATTTTCACTTTTCACTAAAAAAATATCTAACCTAACAATAATTCAAATGTTCACTATTTTAGATAGAAAATCTAAAAAGGTCGATCTATTTTTAAATGTGGTCGCCTGGTTTTACAGGATTTATCATTTATCCTTGTTGCTAAATGCAAAGGATAAAGGACTAGGTTTATTTTTGTTTATTTTTCGGAAGGATGAAGCTTGAAGCTACCACAACAATACAACAAAACATCTGGTGTGAGTACGATCAGTAATTTCATCGGTATGAGTTTCGATTTCGATGTTATATGCATCGAATTCAGATTGAGAAACGTTAGATAATTTTATATTTTAGGAACACGGATAGTATAAGTAGGGTAATATATTTAATTATGCACAGTATACAATTTTATTGCCAACAATATTTTTAATAAATTAAAATTAAATAAAATTGGGGTCCTATGATTGAACGTTTACGTTATCCATAACGTACATGTTAGGCCGAATTTTAACAGTAACGAGGCAAGTTCGTATGATGGAAACCTGTTAAATTAGAACATAACAGGCGGAAAATAACAGTAATGTGTTGGAAAAAGTTTTCCATCACACGAACTTGCCTCGTTACTGTTAAAACTCGGCCTAACATGTACGTTACGGATAACGTAAACGTTCAATCATAGGACCCATTAAAGTGATTTTCCACTCGAAAAGAGTATGTGTGCAGCACATACTATTGCTGCGTTTGAGAATCCACATCGGATGCATTTTTTAGCGGATGATTAAAACGCACCTATTATTTTTGGAGTCACAGTTTATTGCTAAAGAATCAGTTAGCTCACTCGGACCAGTTGAAAGTTCCAAAATAACATCCACTCCAGGGGGTCGATTCTCGACTCGTAGGAATTTTTTCCTATAGGAATTTTTGACATTTTTCTACACATCGGAAATTTATGACATTTGTCTACATGTAGGAAAGTGTCACAAATTCCTATAGGAAAAGGTTCCTACAAGTCGAGAATTGACCCCCAGGGATACAAATTCAGGATACGCAGAAGACTGCTGTTTTATTATAGGCGGTTGTCATATGTTGTATTATCCGAGTTGCGCAGTGTATAAACTGGAACATTGATATCCAAAGTGCCGACGCAGAGTGAGCGATCTGATTCTTTAGCTATAAATTGTGGCATAGGAATCAAAATGGCCGCACCCTATGTTGGGCGTGTCGGACCTCTCTCTTGCACCGTATAGTAATCAAAGTATGTGGCTGTAGGATTCGAAACTGCGTGTTTCTTAATCACAAAATTTCCTGTGAGGGCTGTGAGTACAAACGCGTGAGACAATTACGCTACTGAGACGATATTGATTAATTAAATAAAACAAAACCTCCTATATAACTTTATATAATAAACAATAAATACCATATACAGGCTGTCAATTTAATATTTGAAAGACGTCTATATCAGAAAAATATTTTCCCTTTGGACTAAGAATTATTGTTTCAGCATTTTTTAAATTTAATAATTATTTGGTTGGTGAAGGTTGGCTCGTTGATGGTCCCAGGCTGCACAGGTTAGGTAAGTTTATTGAGTTTTTTTTATTTTTTCGCATTTATTTATAAAAAAATTCAAAGCTGTGACCGATGGCTCCAGGCCGCACAGGTTAGGTATATGTGTCCGATGTGGATAAAAAAACGCTCGAGATGTAAAAAATGCATCCGATGTGGATTCTCAAATGCGGCATTAGTATAAAATAGAAGAAGCTGCAGCATTCATACCTTCACATGCTCGAAGATTTATACTGGTAATCATAAGAGCGAAAAATACTATATGTAGTGTTAAAATTGGGGGTCTGGCAACATAGCACGATATGTCAAAAAATGTCACATGCCAATTGTCATCCATCATCCATCCAGTAAAAATAATCACTTTCATTAGAAGTTGATAAGTTTAATATTTTGATTATTTTATGATTTAACTAATGTGTGCCAATTAATTAGTTTTTATAAGTCAAAAAAATGTTGGTTCTCTTTGAAACCCCAGCCGGGTATGCTATATTTAAGGTAATTATGATAGTTTAAATATTTAAAAAAACCTAACCTAACTTTGACCATGCTTTCAGCTACTGGACGAAAAGAAACTGAAAGAGACTGATAATTTATATCGAGACTTTACGACGCCTGAATCTGCTGGAAAAATGTAAGTACATTTCCGTAGATATTGTGTGTATCAATAAATATTTTGTTTATACTTCTTGGCAATTATTAGGAATAAACATTGTCTAGATCTATTTACATATTCACGGTTTATATTTAAGGTGGATTCATAAACTACGTTCAGTTCACGCTCAGTTCGAGTTCAACATAAACAGAGCAAGATGACACGGTAAGTATGTTTTGGATAAGAAGTTATAACCGATTCATAATTATTTTATAACCAACACCATCTACCAATATAATTAAAACAAAAAACACCAAAAAATAATTTTATTTTGTGGAATTTGTGGTTATGTTTTGCCAACTTCAACTGAGCGCGAACTGAACGTAGTTTATGAATCCACCTTTATACTTAATATAAAAACTAATAAGTACATTAAGTGTAGATATGCCACCAAGGTGGTTTTAAATATACCATATTTGGTGGTTCTTTGGATCTCTATAACCAAGAGTTTTTAACCATTTAACAAATTTATTTGGTTCACCAAATCTTACAAAGCACATTGAATTTTTTATTCGTGTATTTGATAGACGAAAATTCTTTAAGGTATTAAAATTGGTTGTTTTTCACTGATATGATTTGTCTTTTTTTATTATCTATACTAAATTTTAAGGTATCGGTTACTAGCAGTTTTTAAAATGTTATGGGTTAGTAAATGAATTGACCATATGACCATTTGGCCCTGAATATGGATCTACAATTATATTTATACAGGATGTCCCAAAAAAGTATACAAATCCGTTAACCATAGATTCCTTAGGCCAGTGTAAGAAACTCCTATTATTTTTTTTTATTGGGACCATCATGTTCAATATACAGGGTGACAAAGTTAATTTTTACATCGTTTTATTAAGTGGATGGCTTAAAATTGGTACACCTGGTTTTTTTGGGATAGAGGACGCTAGTTGCAAGTCGCACTGTATATTAAACATGATGGCCCAATCGAAAAAAATAAAGGCCCAATCGAAAAAAATAAAATAATAATAGAGGTTTCTTACACTGACCTATGGAAGCTATGGTTAACGGATTGGCCTACTTTTTTGGGACCCCCTGTAGAAACAATTCTGAAACTTAAATTAAAAAAAACATTTTAATGATTCCATTTTTCAATTTTATGTCTCATGTTAAGAATTTTTTTTTTGATATTTTGTGACCTAAATTACCAAAATATTTAGATTTTTCTTGAAATTTTTTCCTAGTATAATGGATGTATATTTTTTTTTAATTCAGAAATTGATAGGTTATAAGATATAAGTAGGTGTCATTTAAATTTTTTTATTCAACCATAGTTAAAATGTTTACAGCATCTAAAATTACATAGGATGAGTAAATTCAACTAAATGTGATTTTCTATCTAATTTGATTTTAAATTTAAAGGGTCTGTACCCTCTCCCCTAGAAAACAATTCGCCAGTTACTCCCAATTTATATTAATATAATTTTTTTGGATTTATGTTTTTACACCACACCAAAAGTAATTGAAATTTGTCTAATAAATTCGGTTTAGGCTTGAAAGTCTTCAATCGAGATGTTTCAAAAAAAAAAAAAATTTGCAGATAAGTTATGTGAATATCCTGCAAACTTATTTATTTTTTATTTATATTCATATATAAAAAATGATAGATTTTTTAAATTTGCTTCAATGAATATTACCCAATACCCACTATAAAAATGGGTTTTTAGAAAATATTAAAATTTGCTTATTGTTATTTTATAATTCAATATTAGCAGACAATAAAAATGTGGTTTTTAAGAATGAGGCACTCAACAATTATGAGGCCTCATCTGCTTCAGCGGGAATTCGCCACTGAGTGACCATAGGGACGTTAGTATAATAATTATAATTTTTATTGTTTTTATGAGAATTATGCTTTTAAAAAATATATATTTGAAATAATCCAATCTAATTATGGGTTATACTGTTATACAAAAATATACTCGGTATATTTTGTTTGCTGTTGCCGTGCGAGATGAAATGTACAATGATGAAATAGTGCTTTGTACCAAGTTGTTTAAATTTAAGACCCTGTATTTTGGTTATAAAGGTTTATAGACCCACTAAATAAGTATAATAGCACCATATCTACCACTACCTATGCTTAAAGTATGCACATTTCTCAATTAAACACCCTGTATAAATATAATTGTTTGCAGCGTCAAACTTAAACATTTTGAAAAATTCGGTGACACCACCGAAGCCCTTGCTGCCACAACTGCAGCTGTAGAAGGTAAAATATCGAAGAGTTTGAAAAAAGTGTTAAAGAAACATGTTGATAAAGATCTCCAAGAACAACTTTTAGTCGCCGATGCTAAACTAGGATCTGCCATTAAAGAAAAATTCAGTTTACAATGCCTGTCCAATTCGTCTGTTCAGGAGTTAATGAGATGCATTCGATCCCAATTAGACAGTTTAATTTCTGGTTTGCCCAAGAAAGAAATGACCGCTATGGCATTGGGTTTAGCCCATTCGTTGTCTAGGTACAAGCTTAAATTTTCCCCAGATAAAGTGGATACTATGATAGTGCAAGCAGTTTCTTTATTAGACGATCTAGATAAAGAATTAAACAATTACATAATGAGGTGTAGAGAATGGTATGGCTGGCACTTTCCAGAATTGGGAAAGATCGTTACCGATAACGTAGCTTTTGCAAAAACTGTCAAAATTATTGGCACGAGAGAAAATACAGCTAACTCAGATTTATCAGATATTCTACCAGAAGAAGTTGAGGAGAAAGTTAAAGAAGCCGCTGAAATATCGATGGGTACTGAAATTGCGGAAGAAGACATCATAAACATCCAAAATTTATGCGACCAAGTTATCGATATCACTAACTACAGAACACAGCTGTATGACTATCTAAAAACAAGAATGTTGGCGATGGCACCGAATTTAACTGTACTGGTAGGTGAATTAGTTGGTGCAAGGTTGATTTCCCATGCAGGTTCTTTGATTAATTTAGCAAAACATCCCGCCTCTACAGTACAAATTTTGGGAGCCGAGAAAGCGTTGTTTAGGGCTCTTAAAACGAAGAAGGATACTCCAAAGTATGGTTTGATATATCATGCACAATTGGTGGGGCAATCTAGTACTAAAAATAAAGGAAAAATGTCTAGGATGTTGGCTGCGAAGGCGTCACTGGCTACTCGTGTTGATGCTCTTGGTGAAGATGGAACATTTACTTTAGGTATGTTATAGTTTAAAATTTAAAAAGGAAAATATAATGGGACACCTGGTTTTTCTTAAAGAATTTATCTAAACTTTAATTTTTCAACAGGAGCCGAGCACAAAGCAAAACTAGAGGCACGATTAAGAGTATTGGAAGAAGGAAATGTGAGAAGGATAAGCGGTACCGGAAAAGCCAAGGCCAAGTTCGAAAAATACCATGGAATCAGCGAGATTAAGCAGTACCCGGACGCCGCCGATTCGACCCTGCCCGTAGTGAAGCGAAAGAGATCAGAATCTGAAGATGTTAAAGAAGAAATCAAAGAAGAAGATCCCGCAACTCCAGGATCCTCAAAGAAAAAGAAGAAAATTAAAGCAGAAATACAAGCAGGCACATCTGAGACGAACCTAGAACGTAAATTATTGATAACTATTATAAATCACAATTTCATCTAAATATCTATTTGTTTACAGAAGCTGAAGAGTCGCCCAAAAAGAAGAAAAAGAAGGTGAAGCAAGAGAAGCTAGATGAAAGCATCCAAGAACAAATAGAGGGCGAGGACGGAGAAGAGACAGTATCGAAGAAAAAGAAGAAGAAAAAAGTAAAGCAAGAATTGGAGGAGTCGCAGGTCGAGGAAGTTGCTCAAGAAACTGAAGAACCTAGTTCCGAGAAAAAGAAGAAAAAAAAGAAGAAGAAGCAGTCAGAAAGTGAGGAACAGTGAAACGGGTTTAAAATTAAAAAATTGCTAAACACTTGTTAAGAAATCGCTAGAACACTAGGTTATTTTTGTATATAAGATTAAGTAAAAAATATACATTCTAATTAGAAAAGTTGAATTTTTCTATTTTCTAGTGATTAAAACTTCTTATCTATCTCTATTATCGCAATAGTTTATTAAAAAATTATTTTTTATTTGAATTCATTTGTAATTTTTTTCTTAAATAATTCTAAATTGTAGTAATTGCACGGAGGTAATAACATCCAGGGAAGTTGTTTGAAATACATGGAAGTTTTAAAAGTATAACGCGAAAGTAATTGTTAGGTTGGAGTTATTTTTGTTGTTTTTTTAATAAAACATTTCAATTATTTGTATTTGTTTTTTTTTTTCATTAATCATCCTTTTTTTAGTAAGTACATAAAATGTATGTGTTTTAGATGCAGCAGTTCAAAGAAACAGTTTTAAGGGAAAGTGAATTATTCTCTAATATACCGTGGTATTAAACAATAGCCTAATATCAGTGTAAAACAGTATTTCAAATGCACCGTGTATAAAGTTCAAATGTTTGTTTAATTGCAGTAGTTCATATTGTAAATTTAAATAAAATTCAGGGGACCCCAAAATGTAAAAATCTGACGAAAAATGGTTGAATAAAATCATTATTCCTATACTTTCCTTCCGTTTCTGTATACAGACAGCAAAGTTAAAATATCTTAAAACATCTCTTCCCTATGCTCAATAAAACTTATTTAAATTATCCTAATCACACCTACTTGATATAATCAAAATCAATGAACTAAATGAAAAGTGAACTGATATTTTGAACTATTTACTTTACTGAATGAAATCAAAATCTGCAAAGTGAACTACATATATCTATTGATAAACTTATTTATTGCAATGAGAAATTATATGGTCCCTGTCTTCTACTCAGGAAAGAGTAGTTACTGTTACTATCTGGAGTGTGGGGACTTCAACTCACCATTGTAATCTTGGTTACCGTTACTTCAGGGGCTCGCGGTTAAATGCACTTCAAAAGTATTGGCCAAAATTAAATTACAATATTTTAATTAAAAAACCAAAAGAAAGATTTTTCGTTTTATCACAGTAGTTCAAAATAATGACCTTTAGAAAACAATGAAACATGTCATTTAATGTTGAGAATATTCAAAAAAATAACAAATATCTTTATTTTTAATAAATACTTGGAATCAATGTAAAACATATTTTACAACAAACAATCCACAATTAAGTTAAGTAGGAATGCCCAGTGTTCTTCTTACAATTTTTTCTGCTATTCTATTAAATTCGTCTCTGTGTTCTCGCCACATTTTTGCCGCATCTACATTCGCACCACTTTCATCATTTGGCTCTAAAAAAAATGAATATGTTACTGCAATATTATAAATATATAATTTAAAATAATTGCACTGTAACAATAATTACAAAAATTACCTGCTAACATACTAACAACTGAGAGTAAAATTTTTTCTACACTTTGCACAGGTGACCACCTCTCTGCACTAGATTCATACCCCATTGGATCATCTCCAGGTGCATGTAAAATTGAAATACAAACTCTACCATCAGAATATACTAAAAAAAGACGGTTATACATATAAAAGTTTTTGTATTTGTAACTTACTATTTGGATGAAACATTTCACAGGTAAACTGCATTTTCGGCGGACTTAATGGATAATCGGCTGGGAAAACAAGTTTTGCAGGAAAAACACCACCTTCGAAACACGTACCTTCAGGGCCACTGAAAATATTAAGTATTTAAATTAATTAACCATAAAAATGTTCGATTTTCGTACGTAATTAGAGCTTCCCATTCAAAAAAGTTTTCTTCGTTAATTGGACCAGCAATTATACCTTCTGGAGGATTTAAGGTAAGTTCTAAAAAATTGCGATATTAATTAAGATATAAAGTGATGATTATCGGACTTTATACTAACGTTTATATTCTGCCATAAGTCTTCTTAAAGCCGACCCTGCCATTATTCACGTAATTAATAAAATATAAATATACATATATAACATAAAATTTTAATTCTTCAAAAACTTCCCTATTGCAATGTCACGTTGACATTTGACAGTTTAACTTTAGGAGGCGAGTTCGGATAGTCAGGGGCTGTGACTCCAAAAATAATATTCACTGACAGCAGCAAGCAAAATATCAGGTGCGTTTTAATAATCCGCTTCTGCTTCCGGAATTGTCGGTTTAGTCGTTTTAACCTGTCAGATTAAAACAAGAAAATCGACAATTCCGAAGCAGAAGCGGATGATTAAAACGCACCTATTAAAAATATTGCGCCAAGATGTAGGCAACACGTAATAAGGGTTCAAAATGGCGGAGTTTTCTATCTCCTTTTAAAAGGCACTCAGAAAGCTGCGCAGTGCGACCATTCTCCGTATAGTAAAAGAAAATCAAATGCTGCGTTTGAGAATCCACATCGGATGCATTTTTTACATCTCGAGCGTTTTTTTATCCACATCGGACACATCTGTCCCATTACATTTACGTATACTGAACCACGTGATCAAAGATTTTTTACATCTCAGATGCATCCGATGTGGATTCTCAAACGCAGCAATAGTATGCGATACCAGTGGGTAATGACAGTTTAGATATGGCAACCCTGTTGTCATGTTGTCATTAACAGGGTCAATGATACATATAAAGTTATATAGATTGCTCAAAGCTGGTCGTTTACGAGCGGCCATATTGCCTGGCAAATATTTATTAATTTCAATCGGTTTAGCAAAAATGTGTTTTAAAATCAATTTTTAGCCTTTAGATATTTAAAAAAAAAATAATTGCCTACATTTTTACTTCAAGGCATAAGCTTATGTTTATTTTGAAAAATATGGATGATCAATCTATGTAACTATCTATTTCATTGACCTTGTCAAATCACCAGGCCTACACAGGGTTGCCATAATTTTGCCATATCATAACCCGTCAAAACCCACTGGCAGCCATTCAGTTTGGAATGCTTAACAGGCCCATGACACTCCCTGGGCGGGAAAAAGACACGCAGCTTTTACTGCGCTGACGTTTTCGGGATATAACCTATCACTTGTCATAAATCCGGTTAAAAACTCGCTACCATGCGCAGGCAATCCATATTTCGTACACAAATACAAACTTTTGTTTACATTTTATCGAAGTAGTTTTTGTAATACATTCACAGCTTAAAAACGGAAAATTTGTTGTTTTGATAGTGAATTTAGATCAAAAATACCCCAAATACACTTTAGTGTGTGTTTTATCCTTATTGTTACGTATTATTGCTAGTTTTATTTGAGGACATTGGAATAAATAGAGTACTAGAAGTAATCAAGCTAAAAAGGTGTATAAGAAGAAAATACATTGTATTCGACTGATTTATGTTTAATATGTTTTCGTAAAGTATTTCCAACATGCTAGTTCCTTGAATGGTTGTAAATTGTAAGTGTATAAGTGATAGAAACTGATCTAGTGCTTTGTGCTTCGTTTTTTTTGTGTTGGTGTCCCAGCCCAGCATTCCTAGCCAGCAGTAGTAGCAAAAACATTAACATTGTCTACATTCAACCCGTTTACATGTACGTGATTTATCAACTAAAAGCAGAATACAATAGTTCTCTGCAAAATGTGAACAACGCTACAAGGAAAATTGTTCATGTATAAATTCAACAATTAAATCAAAATATATTATTTTTAAAGGACTTATATCAACTATTATGTTAATTATAAATATTATAATATAAATATTTGTAACAAAATAATAGTTGTGTATTAATAAATCTGTTACTACTCCAAAAAATATATTGTTTATTATCAGGTATCAAAAATAATATGTTTCTTATTATAGTTGTAAATAAAAACAACACTTTTTATCCGTCCATTTAACACTTACAAACATATGCATATTTTAAGTTGTAAGGATCCATAGCCTCTTAATTTTTTACATTAGACACAAGACCTGTGATGTCACATTAAATCATGAATATGAGATAAAGGATTTTGGAGTTGTCTTTCAGTCTAATTTGAAGTTTAATAACCATTTCTTACACATAACTAAAAAAACAATAAAAGCTTTGGGTTTTTAAATCAGAAATACAAAAAAATTTTAGAATTACCACCAAAATCAAATTATATAATGCCTTACTAAGACCCATCTTGAGTATGTTTCACAAATATGGATGCCCTTGAAAGCCACACATATTGATCATATTGAAAAAGTACAAAAAATATTTTTACCATACCTTTATGCCATAAAAAATACTTGTACCTTTATAAGATCTCATATAAAACTATGCTCGATAGTTTTAAGATTAAATCTCTTTTACAAAGAAGAAAGCAACAGGCTGTGATATATTTTGTACTCTATTTTAAATAATGTTAAGTACAAAGATTGTGATTTGATTGACTATATAAATTTTAATGTGGCAAAGATTAATCTAAGAATCCCAATAAGTAACAAAAAATTATTTAGTTTAGATCCAAGTAGTATATTTCCTTTTAACAAGATAATGGCTGTTACCAATGAGTTTTTTAGCGAGGTCTAAATAGATATCGTTAATATTAGCCTAAGAAAGTTGAGGACTGTACTAAATTAAGTTCACTAGATATAAAGGTTTGTTTTGTTTTTAAAGTTCTTGTTACTTAACTCTACATGTAACTACTATTAATTTTTTATAGTATCCAATAAATAAATTATACCTTATGACTGCTTTCAAACAATTCTGTGTGTAGTCACTCAGTTTAAAGTTAATTTTAAATTAATGAGTTTAATAAGAATGTCAAATAGTGATATGTATAGTGTCTATGAATTTGCTGTGTGTAGTAAATGGCCAATAAACATAACTTTGATATTTTTATTACAAGTGTAAAAACTACGAAAACCATATACATAGTTCCCATTTTTAAATAAATTCATAATAAAAATTAACGATTTTAGTCTGCCATACTTGAACTCATTCACTAAAACAAGTCACTGAGTATATATTTGTAAAAAAAACTACACTAAATATGTCTCCATTATAAATTTTAATATTTAAAACTACATACTTTCCTATAGATTTTGCAGTAAGTACCTAAATAACGTATAGAATAAATTTCTACAACATAGAAAAGTTTTAGATTAGAGTAATTCTTAAGAAATAAAGCAAAACCTCTATTTTGTTACTCTAACCTTGTGTGTTATATATTTTCCTTGACAAGCTAACGTTATAGTTTGAACTAAAAGTAATTAAACTTTTCACTAAAAAGTAATATTTCACATATAAAAAAAAATTTTAAAACGGTTCTGCCTTCTCACATTTGCGAAGACTGTCCTGATAGGTCTGTTCTGGTTTTGAGAAATAACGATCCACAACTGTCGGGCTCATGCGCAGTAGATAAAAAGTGTTCTGGTTTTTCTGGGACTACTTCGGATCTCTCAGTCCAGTGTTCTGGTTTCGTATCCGAAATAATCCGTGATTGTTGTAAACAGTCAAAAAGTGTTCATGCTTGGGAGTGTGGATCGACTCGGACTGTTTTGACCGCGCATGCGTTTTTGAAGTGTTATGAATATTGTATTGGCTTTTTAGACCATACGAAACGTATACAATCCCAAATTGTTTATTTATATGTGGACGAATGTCTCTTGTTCTTGTTTTATTTGTAAATTAAAGCAATTTTAGAATTATTAATTTTTTAATATTCTGTTTTTATTTATTCCATTGAAATGTGATGATAATGATAAACATATACATGCAAATGTTATTTGAAGCTGAGCTTTCAAAAGGAACTTCATTATTATAATAAACAAAACACCTTTATGACGTGTTCTGGTTTTCCAATAATTTCAAACAGTCGGGGATTTTTTGCCTTTACGCATACGGTCCGGCGCAGTTTCAAAACAGTTTTCATTTTGAGAACCAGAACAAACCTAATATCTAATCTACCAGGTCTTCAACAATACCCGAAACCCACGTGATCTGATAACCATCAAAAACCCATCGAAAGGGCCTGATTTGACGTAAAAGGAACTAAACTGAATTGTCAGTCCTGTCAGAAATGTCACTGGCGTTCATTTGGGGACTGACAATATTTATGTTATGTTTGTTTACATTTTATAAACACCTTTATTCCGTTTTTCATTTAATAGTAATAAAGCAATTAGTTATTTTTAGAGAAAATTGGTGGCTTAATTCTTTTTTGTTGGTAAGTACAAATTTATTTACTGTAACTCGTAAAAGTTAATGACTATATAATTTATTTTATTTCAGGTAATGTTACACAGAAACAAAATTATTTTATATTCGTAATTGTATTCGAAAATTTGAGGAACGTTTTCCAGTTGAATAAATGGAATGTGATTCTTTTTTGTCGTCATAAACAAATACTTGTTCAAAATTATAAAAAAAAGGAAAAAGCTCTAAAAGGCCCACAGTAACAACAAAAGCTGTTGAAGATGTGCAAATTAACATGGTGCAAATTCCCAATAAATTAGTAAAAAAACAGCACCTCAAACAGGTATGAACGGTGTTTCAAAGACTGACTCTGACGAGTGAAATTCAAAACTTTTTTTTTTAGGTTTGTCACTACGAACTAGCCATAAAGTATTGAAAACATTTCTGATATGCATCCTCTATAAAGTTTCAGTACTGCAACAATCATTTTACCTTAATTTTGTTAAACCTACCTATGGAATATTACAGATCGTTCAATTCAAAATCTTTTGTGTGACGTTTATGAACTGGAGCACCTATATTAAATGAAATACAAAATATAACTGAGGAGAAACTGCATAATGTGTTCAAAGAAGAACAATTAATGCTTGTATTAAAGCTGGTGGTAAAGATTTTGAACAGATAGGTACTGTGAATTAGTATCGTTTGTGCACTACCGATTACTACTGAATATGCTTTTAAATAAAATAGTTGTCAATAGGTATGCCTTTATAATTTAAAGTGAGATATATAAGGAAAAACAAATGTGTTCTTGCTACATTAATAATATTAATAATTTTTTGTATACATATAAGTAACATAATATATCTTGTAAATGGTTTAAACCCTGTAACAAATAAATAATAGGACAAACTTCAAAAAATATTTATTATTTGCCATTGC